TCCGAGACCCAGAAAAGAAATTCATTATTCATATATGACACATATACTTTGGGGCCCCTTTTTATTTCTGGGGCACAACTTGACTTTTCTAGAACTTTGTTTCCATTTCGTTTCATTTTGTTTTTTTTTAAAAAAAAAAAAAAAAAGTGGAAAAAATAATTCCTTTTGCAATTGTATTTTGCAATTTAGTATTTCTGTGATGTCAGTCGTAATTTCCCCCCTTTCATTCCCACTCTTTATTTGCCCGTATAAACAAGGGTTTACTTCTGGACTCTCGATTCTGTTCCACCGGTCCATGTGTCTGTTTTGCTGCCAATACAATGCCATTTTGATTACTGTTGCTTTGAAGTATAATTTGAAGTCGAGCAGAGTGATGCCTCCAGCCCTGTTCTTTTTTTCTCAGAATGGCTTTGGTAATTCGGGGTCTTTTGTGCTTCCATACAAATTTGATGATATTTTGTTCTATTTCTTTAAAAAATGCCAATGGAATTTTGATGGAGATTGCATTAAATCTGTATAATGCTTTAGGTAATATGGTCATTTTAACTATGTTGATTCTTTCAGTCCAAGAATACAGAATATCTTTCCATTTCTTTGTATCTTTTTCAATTTCTGTTAATAGGATCTTGGAGTTTTCATTATATAGGTCCTTCACATGTTTCATTAAATTTATTACCAGGTAATTTATTCCTTTTGTTGCAATTGAAAAAGGAATGATTTTTTCCACTTTTTTTTTTCTGAGACTTTATTATTGGAGTATAGGAACGCTATGGATTTTTGAACATTGATTTTGTATCCTGAGACTTTACTGTATTTGCTTATTGTTTTAGTAGTGTTCTTGTGGCGTCTTTAGGGTTTTCAAAATAGAGAATAAAGTCATCCACAAATAGTGACAGTTCGACTTCTTCATTTCCTGTTTGGATGCCTTTTATGTCTTTCTCTTGTCTGATAGCACTTGCTAGTACCTCCAATGTTATATTGAATAACAGTGGCAATAATGGACAGCTTTGCCTTGTTCCTGATCTAGAGGGAAGGTTTTTAGTTTTTCACCATTAACTATAATGTTGGCTGAGGGTTTGTCATATATCATGTTAAGATACTTTCCTTCTATACCGATTTGTTAAGTGTTTGGATCATAAATGAGTGCTGTATCTTGTCGAAGGCTTTTTCTGCATCTATTGATATGATCATATGATTCTTATTTTTTAATTTGTTTATGTAGTGTATCGCATTAATCGATTTGCATATGTTGAACCATTCCTGTGCCTCTGAGATGAAGCCTACTTGATGGTGGTGTATAATCTTTTTAATATGTTTCTGTATTCAGTTCAGTAGTATCTTATTTAGGATTTTTGCATCTGTGTTCATGAGACATATTGGTTTGTAGTTTTCTTTTTTTGTGTTATCTTTACCAGGTTTTAGTATCAGGGTTACATGGGCCTCATAAAATGAGTTGGGAAATATTGCCTCCTCTTCGATTTTTTGAAGGAGTTTAAGGAGAATAAATATTAAATCTTCTTTGAATGTTTGATAGAATTCACTGGTGAAGCCATCTGGTCTTGGACTTTTACTATTTGATAGTTTTTTGATGATTGTTTCAATTTCCAGTTCTTCTTGATTCAGTCTAGGAAGGTTGTATTTTTCTAAATACTGGTCCATTTCTTCTAGGTTATTAAATTTTGTGTTATATACTTTTTCATAGTATTCTTGTATGATCCTTTGTATTTCTGTGATGTCAGTCAATATTTCCCCTCTTTTATCTTGATTTTGTTTATTTGTGTCCTTTCTCTTTTTTCTTTAGTGAATCTAGCCAGAGATTTGTTAATTTTATTAAGCTTCTCAAAGAACCAGCTCTTTGTTACATTTATTTTTTCTATTGTTTTTTATTTTCAATTTTATTTATTTCTGCTCTAACTTTTTAAAAATCATTTATTATTATTTATGCATATAGCATCTGGTCTTCATAGGTGGTCTCCCATCCAAGTACTAACCAGGCTCTACCCTGCTTAGCTTCCGAGATCAAATGAGATCGGGCTTGTTCGGGGTGGCATGGTCATAGACCATGGACTGTGGCTCCACTGAGGCATAAACTCAGGAACTTCTGCATGTAAAGCAGATGTGCTAACTGCTACACTATGGAACCACGTTCTCAGATCCAATTTTGATGATTTCTTTCCTTTTGCTGACTTTAGGCTTCATTTGTTCTTCCTTTCCTAGTTTTTTAAGATGAAGCATTAGGTTGTTTATTTGAGCTCATTCTTGTTTTTAGAGGTAGGCATGTAATGATATGAACTTTCTTTTTATGACTGCATTAGCTGTGTCCCAAAAGTTTTGATAGGTTATACTATCATTATCATTCGTTTCTATGTATCTCTTGATCTCTCTTTTTATTTCTTCTCTGACCCAGTTATTCTTCCGTGGCATGTGGTTTAATCTCCATGTATTTGTGGTTCTTCCTGCTTTCTTTCTGCAGTTGATCTCTAATTTCAAAGCATTATGATCAGAAAATATGGTTGGTATGATTTCAACCCTCTTATATTTGTTGAGGCCCTCTCTGTGTCCTAGTATGTGGTCGATTCTTGAGAATGTTCCATGTGCACTAGAGAAGAAATTATAAGCAGCTGTTTTGGGATGGAAGGCCCTGTAAATGTCCATTATGTCCAGTTGGTCTAATGTGTCATTTAAGGTGTTATTTCATTATTGGTTTTCTGTTTGGATGATCTGTCCATATCTGACAGTGGGGTATTTAGGTCACCAACTATCATGTTTTGGTCTGTTTCTCCCTTTAGTTCTTGCTTTTGCGGGGGTTCTACAATTGGGAGCATAGATATTAATAAGTGTTATGTCTTCTTGGTGGATGATTCCCTTTATCGTTATGAAGTGTCCCTCAGTATCTATCTTTACTTTCTTTTTTTGAAGTCTATTTTGTCTGATATTAGTACCACTACTCCTGCTTTTCTCTGAAAGCCATTTGCTTGAAATATCATTTTCTACCCTTTCACTTTGAGTCTATATTTGTCTTTGGAGCTGAGATTTGTCTCCGAGAGGCAGCATATGGTTGGGTTTTGTTTTTTGATCCATTCTGCAACTCTGGCTTTTTATTGGTGAATACAGTCCATTTACATTTAGGGTGATTACTGAAATATGAGGTCTTCTTATAGCCCTTTTATCTTTTGCTTTCTAGTAGCTTGGTGTTTCCATTGCTTCCTTGTCCTTGTGTTTCTGTTTTCTTTATTTTGGTTGGCTTTTGTGGGTTTTGCCTCTGGTTCTTCTTGTTTTATGTTACATACAACGGTTCTGAATCTTTGGCATGTGGTTACCATTATAAATATGTAAAGGACAGTTACATATAGTCATCTATTTTCTTCTGCCTTATTTCCATTCCCCTTTGCGAATTTGGATCTTTGAATCCCCCCATTTTCTGTCATTGTTATTTCAATTTGTTCCTATGTATGCTGAACATTCATTACTATCTTATAACAATTCTCTTCTTATTTAAGCTTATAATGCCCGATAGTCACTTTACTCCTAATTATGTATTTTTTTT